AGTAATCTCTCAGACCACTGGAATAAAACTGGAAATCAACTTCAAAAGGAACATTCAAAATCAGGCAAATACATGGAAATTAAATAACCTTCTTCTGAATGATTGTTGGGTCAACAACAAAACAAGATGAAATTTAAAAATTTGAAATGAACGATAATAATGACACAGCCTATCATAACCTCTGGGTGCTAAGAGGAAAGTTTACAGCATTGAATGCCTGCATGAAAAAGTCTAAAAGAGCACAAATAAGACAATCTAAGGTCACACCTCAAGAACTAGAGAAACAAGAACAAACTAAACCCAGCAGAAGAAAAGAAATAACAAAGATGAGAGCAGAAATCAATGAAATTGAAACCAAAAAAATACAAAAGATAAATGAAACAAAAAGCTGTTCTTTGAAAAGATAAACAAAATTGATAGAACATTACCAAGATTAACCAAAAAAAGAAAAGATCCAAATAAGCTCAATTAGAAACAAAACAGGATATCTAAGAACTGATACCAAAAAAATAAAAAATATTTTTTTAGGCTACTATGAACATCTTTACACATACAAACTAGAAAGCCTAGAGGAGACAGATAAATTCCTGGAAATATACAACCCTTCTAGATTAAACCAGTAAGAAACGGAAACTCTGAACTGACCACAGCCAGACTGAAATGGTAATTTTAAAACTGCCCACAACAAAAACAACAAAAAGTCCAGGACCAGAGGGATTCACAGCTGAATTCTATCAGACATTCAAAGAAGAACTGATACTAATCCTGTTGGCACCATTCCAAAAGACAGAGAAAGAAGGAATCCTCCCTAAATCATTCAATGAAGTCATTATCACTCTGATACCAAAAACAGGGAAGGACATAACAAAAAAAGAAAGCCAAAGACCAATATCCCTGATGAACATAGATGCAAAAATCCTCAACAAAATATTAGCTAACGGAATCCAACAGCACATTAAAAAGGTAATTCACCATGACCAAGTGGATTTCATACCAGGGATGCAGGGACAGTTTAACGTCCACAAGTCAATAAATGTGATACACCACATAAACAGAATTAAAAGCAAAAATCACATGATCATCTCATCAGACAAAGAAAAAGCATTTGACAAAATCCAGCATCCCTATATGATTAAAACCATCAGCAAAATCGGCATAGAAGGGACATACCTTAAGGTAATAAAAGCATCTATAACAAACCCACAGCCAACATTGTAATGAACAGGAAACAAGTTGAAAGCATTCTGCCTGAGAAGTGGAACAAGACAAGGATGCCCACTTTTACCATAGCTATTCAACACAGTATTGGAAGTCCTAGTTGGAGCAATCGACAAGAGAAAGAAATAAAGGGCACCCAAATCAATAAAAAGGAAGTCAAACTGTTGCTGTTCGCTGATGATATGATCGTATACCTATAAAAACCTTAAGACTCATCCAAAAAGCTCCTAGATCTCATCAACGAATTCAGTAAAGTTTCAGGATACAAAATAAATGTACACAAATCAGTAGCTCTGCTATAAACCTACAGCGACCAAGCTGAGAATCAAATTAAGAACTCAACCCCTTTCACAATAGCTGGAAAAAAAAATACTTAGGAATATACCTAACCAAGAAGGTGAAAGAACTCTACAACAAAACTTACAAAACACTCCTGAAAGAAATCACAGAGGATACAAACAAATGGAAACACATCCAAACTACTGGATAGGTAGAATCAATATTGTGAAAATACCATACTGCCAAATGCAATCTACTAGTTCCCATCAAAATACAACCATCACTTTTCACAGAACTAGAAAAAACAATCCTAAAATTTATATGGAACCAAAAAAGAGCCCACATAACCAAAGCAAGACTAAGCAAAATGAGCAAATCTGGAGTCGTCACATTACCTGACTTCATACTATATTGTAAGGCTATAGTTACTAAAACAGTATGGTACTGCTATAAAAGTAGGCACATAGACCAATGGCATAGAATAGAGAACCCAGAAATAAAGTCCAATACTTACAGCCAACTGATTTTTGTTCAAGCAAACAAAAAATATAAAGTGGGGAAAGGACATCCTATTCCACAAATGGTGCTGGAATAATTGGCAAGTCACATGGAGAAGAATGAAACTGGATCCTCATGTCTCACCTTATACAAAAATCAAATCAAGACTGATTAAAGACTTAACTCTAAGACCTGAAACATAAAAATTCTAGAAGATAACATTGGAAAAACTCTTCTAGACATTGGGTTAGGCAAAGACTTCATGACCAAGAACCAAAAGCAAATGCAACAAAAACAAAGATAAACAGATGAGACTTAATTAAACTAAAAAGGTTCTGCACATTAAAAGAAATAATCAACAGAGTAAATGGACAATCTTCACAAATTTTGTATCCGACAAAGGACTAATAGCCAAAATTTACAAGGAACTCAAACAAATCAGCAAGAAAAAAATTCCATCAAAAAGTGGGCCAAGGACATGAATAGACAATTCTCAAAAGAAGATATACAAACAGCCAACAAACATGGTCAACAACATAAATTATCCAAGGAAATGCAATTCAAAATCACAATGCAATATCACCTGATATGGTTTAGCTATGTCCTCACGCAAATCTCATCTTGAATTGTAATCCCCATAATCCCCATGTGTCAAGGGAGAGACCAGGCAGATGTAATTGAATCATGGGGGCAGTCTCCCCCAGTTCTCACAAGATCTGATGGTTTTATAAGTATTTGGCGAGTTCCTCCTTCAGTCATTCTCTCTCTTGCCACCTTGTGAAGAAGGTGCCTCTCTCTCCCTCACCTTCCACCATGATTCTAAGTTTCCTGAGAACTCCCTAGTCAGATGGAACTGTGAGTCAATTAAATTTCTTTCCTTTATAAATTACCCAGTCTCAGGAAGTTCTTTATAGCAGTGTGAAAACAGACTAATATACCACCTTACTCCTGCAAAAATGGCCATAATTTTAAAATAAAAAAATAATTGATGTTGGCATGGATGTGGTGAAAAGAAACACCATTACACTGCTGGTGGAAATGTCAACTAGTACAACCACTATGAAAAACAGTATGGAGATTCCTTAAAGAACTAAAAGTAGATCTATCATTTAATCCAGCAATCCCACTACAAGGGCATCTACCCAGAGAAAAAGTCATTATATGAAAAAGACTCTTGTATACGCATGTTTGTAGCAGATTCACAATTGCGAAAACATGAAACCAGCCCAAATGCCCACCACTCAACAAGTGGATAAGGAAAATGTGATGTACATATATACCATGGAATACTACTCAGCCATAAAAAGGAATGATATAATGGCATTTGCAGCAAGCTGGATGGAGTTGGAGACCATTATTCTACGTAAAGTAACTCAGGAATGGAAAACCAAATGTAGTATATTCTCACTTTATAACTGGGAGGTAAGCTATAAGGACACAAAGGCATTAAGAATAATACAATGGACTTTGGGGGTTCCAGGGGAAGGATGGGAGGGGGATGAGGAGTAAAAGACTACACACTGAGTACAGCATACACTGCTTGGGTGATGGGTGCAACGAAATCTCAGCAATCATCACTAAAGAATTTATCCAAGTAACCAAATATCACCTGTTCCCCAAAAACTATTGAAATAAAAAAAAAAGATAACAACACATAATGTTGTTGGTATTGTATGCAATTAGAACAACTCTTTAAAATCATTCTTAGGAGCTTAAAATTAGAATAGTCATTTCCTTAGCAGTATTTTACATGCAAGTGGTTTGGAGAATTTGTGAGTTTCTTTTATTTTTAAGACAGAGTCTCACTCTGTCTTCCAGGCAGGAGTGCAGTAGCATGATCTCGGCTCACTGCAACTTACACCTCCCAGGTTCAAGCGATTCTCCTGCCTCAGCCTCCTGAGTAGCTGGAACTACAGGTGCATGCCACCATGCCCAGCTAACTTTTGTATTTAGAGTAGAGACGGGGTTTCACCATGCTGGCCAAATGGTCTTGAAATCTGGACCTCATGATCCACTCGCCTCGGCCTCCCAGTGCTAGGATTACAGATGTGAGCCACCGCTCCCACCCAAATTTGTAGGTTTCTTAATAAACATCATATAAATGTTCTAAATTGACTATCAAGGGCCAAGCACAGTGACTCATGCCTGTAATCCCAGCACTTTGGAAGGCCAAGGCGGGCAGACCACTTGAGATCAGGAGTTCAAGATCAGCCTGACCAACATGGTAAAACCCCGTCTCTACAAAAATAACAAAAATTAGTGGGCATAGTGCCATGTACTTGTAATCCCAGCTACTTGGAAGGCTGAGACAGGAGAATTGCTTCAACTCAGAAGGTATAGGTTGCAGTGAGCCAAAATCATGCCATTTTACTCCAGCCTGGGCAAGAGAGTAAGAACTCTTATCTCAAAAAGAATAGAATAAAATAAAATAAATTCATATCAACCACTTCTAACATTTTATACCAAGTAATATAACAAGATGCTTGGGCTAATTTTATAATTATTTATTTAAATTAAGATGAATAAATTTTTTATTATTAAAACTATATATTTAAAAAGAGAAATTAATCATTTTTTTCTTTTTTTGTCATTTTTTTTTTTTTTGGTAGAAACAAATTCTATCCCAGATTCAAGTGAGTCTCCTGCCTCAGCCTTCTGAGTAGCTGAGATTACAGGCACCCACCTAATTTTTTGTATTTTTAGTAGAGACAGGGTTTCACCACGTTGGCCAGGTTGGTCTCAAACTCTTGACCTCACGTGATCCACCTGCCTCAGCATCCCAAAGTGCTGGGATTACAGGCACGTGCCACCGAGCCTGGACTCCTTCGGTTATTTTTATCCGCGTGTGCGTGTGTGTGTGTGTGTGTGTGTGTGTGTTCGTAGGCATGGCATATGTGTACAACTAATACTTGCTCACTCTGTGACTGGCCTGCTATAAATGAAACATACAATAAGCAGAACACACAGCACACAACATAACAGAAGGAAGCAAGTCAGTGCCGTACCTGGGTTATTGTTAACATTACTTTTGGGTGGCTTCTGAACTGGTTTGGGAAGCGTAGATTCAGTCAAAGCTTTATTAGCAACAGCCTGTTGAGCTTTCTTTATGCTGCTGCCTTCGGATTCCCATGTCTGCTCACCAAGACTCAGCTGCACTGAGAACATCTTAGAAAAACATAAATAGACAAAGAAAACATTAAGAATTTTCCAAGAAATAAAATGAGCTGTCTGAGAGAAAAAAAAAAACAACACACCACAGAATCAGAATTTAAGAGCTAGAGGCGACCTTACAAACAGATTATTTCCAAGAAAATCTTACTCTGCCTAATGAAGAAATTTTAAGAGAGTACCAAATTCTGTTCTATCCCATTCAAAAGCTTAGTAGCAGGTCTAGGTATACATTTTTGGTAGAATAAATCAAGAAGCAATCTTTCCTCTAAATGGAATCACAGTGTTAATGTCACTGTGGTCCTCAGAAAAGTAGAATAAGTACAAAGAGTAAGAGAAACTGTAAGAGAAGCCAAAAGACCAAGTGTCTATAGCACTTTTATAAGATCTAATTCCTTAAATGTTACATTTAGCACAATCTAGGCAATGGGTCAGGCAATTCTTTTAAATATTATACTACCAAAAACTCTGAATCTCCACAACAAACATTTAGCCAATCACCAAATTGTGTCCATTTTAACATCATAAATATTTCTCAAATCTTCTTCCCCTCTCTACCAACAACACTGCACTGGATCCAGCCTTTCATCGTCTTTAGCTTGGACATAATATTCCTCCAGCTGATCAATGCTAAAACTATCTTTCTAAAACACAAATAAATCCAATTTCATCACCCCAATCAACACCAGGTTAAAACCCTTCAACTGTTCCTGTTTTAGCAGGGCATAAAGGCTCTACCTGTGCATCCTCACTTCACACACATCCATCCCCTCACGTGTCCTACATTCCACTCACACTGTATTTCCATATAAGCCCCCAAAGTTATTATTCATCTTTAAAATGTAGAATCAAGTTACATGATATGTGCATAATTGCTTATTATTTTCTAGGAATACAAAGTATTAACTCAAAATTACTTCTTAATTACAAAAAAGGATATTATCGCAGAAAGAAGATCAGACAGAAAATACCTTCACTAAGTTAGCATCACCAATAATCATACAAATTGACGTCATGTGCCCCTGAGATGATCCAATGAGAAGGACACATCAACAACCACGTAGTATTCTTGGCCAAAAATGCTCAATCTAATCATAGAGAAATAATCAGACAGATGTAGATTATGGGACATTCTATAAAACAAATGGCCTAGGCTCTCAAAAATATCAATGTCATAAAAGGAAAAAAAAAAAAAAAAAAGAAAGAATGCAGTGAGGTTGTCATAGATTAAAGGACACTAAAGAGACAGGAAAAGACATGATCAACACAATGCATGATCCTTGATTATATCTGAAATGGGAAGGGAAAAAAAGCTATAAAGGACATTTAGAAGACAACTGGGGAAATGTGACTATGAACTGTATATTAAGTAACAGGTTTAGCCAGGATTAAATTTCTTGTGTGATAGCAGTATTGCGGTTATAAAGAAGAACGTCTTTAGTCTTACAAGGTAGACATGTAAGTATTTAAGAGTGAAGTGTCATGGTAGCAGAAATTTATTTTCAAATTGTTCAAGGAAAAAGTGCATGTTAATATAGAAGGAGCAAGAAATAAAGTAATGTTGCAAATAAATAATCAGTGAATCTAAAACATACATGAGTGTCTATTACACTACTCTTTCCATTTTTTTCTGCAGATTTTTAATTATTGAAAAGAGAACTGGAATTTGTCATTTGAAATTCACAGCATAAACATACCTGTTTAAAGTGATTAATTTTTCTTTTATTCTAATTCAGTTTAAAATATATATCTAAAATGTACGTTTAATACTCTATCTGGTTTCAAAACGATTTTTCAATGACTAGCTCTTTGTTTTCCTTCAAATTTTGGTACATAACAAAGAACTCTGTCACAAAATAAGAAAGTTTAAAGGTTTCACATGATATATATTATATAATCTTACATACAGCCCATATGCTTGAAAACAGAAATACCCACATGAATGACCCTGAGATTCCTGATCGCATCAGGAAAGCACATTAAATTTGCTCTGCATGTCTCCAGACCTGACCTCTCCTAAACGGCAATCATTTAAATCTAATTTTCTACCTGGTATTTCCACAAACTCAAGAGGTATAAGGTCCAACAAAACATCGCCTCCTCCACTCTACCCCCGCCAAATCAGTTCATACTCCAAAATGTTTCATCCATTATCTCCCAACAGTTCAGGTTCAAACCTCATTAGTTGCATTTATCCTTGCCTTCCTAAGGCTTATTTAACATCTCTAACTCTTCCTTGTAATTTCTATTATCACCTCCTTAGTCTAAGGCCCCTACAAAGTCAGACTCAGAATACTTCATTTGGCTCCTGTCTCTAATCTTTCCTGCCTCCTAATATCCAGATGTCACTATTTTCCCAATCTCATGAGCCAGAAACCTCTGAGTGGTCCCCCATTCTCTCCTCCTTCCAATTATCAACTACTGATGCAACTTAAATGTTTTTCAGACCTGGCCTCCTCTCTTTATACTAAGATATATATATATATATATGCACCAATGTCTTAGTGAAGAATATCAGTACCTCACCCCTAAACTACCACAGCACCATCTGTGGCATATAAGAAATATGTATTTGGTCTCTGGCCCTGGTTCCTAACATAGAGCTTCCAAAACTTTGTAATTTCCCAAGCGACATCAGAGCTAGGAGCATGTCTGTTCTAATATTTGGTCTTTGATTCCAATTTCTAACACAGAGCTCTTAAATTCCTTGGAATTTCCTGGGTGACAGGAACATCTTTTTATTCTAACAAGCCAACTTTTGGCAGGCCCCCTGGACAGAGAGGTAGTCTGAGGGCTAGTCATCAGAAAAACTAAGCCATGGTTAGAAACTTCATTTTTCAGCCCCACCCCATCCCTATCCGCCATGGGTAAAAGAGGGGCTGGAGACTGAGTTAATAATCAATCATGCCTACGTGATGGAGCCTCCATAAATATCCCTAAAGATAAAGTTCAAAAAGCTTGCAGGCTGGTGAACACATTGAGGTGCTTCAGGGTGGGACACTCAGACAGGGCTTGGAATCTCCATTTCCCTTCTCACACACCTCATCCTATATACCTCTTTATCTAGCTGTTCACCTGTATACTTTAGAATATCCTTTATAAGAAACTGGTAAACGTAAGTATATATTCCCCTGAGTCTTGCAAGCTGTTATAACAAATTATGAAACCAGAGAAGAGGGTGCTGGAAAACCCCGGTTTATAGCCAGTTGGTCACAAGTTTAGAAGACCCAGACTTGTGACTGTCAAGTGAAGTGAGAGCAGTGTTGTGAGACTGAGCCCTTAACCTGTGGGGTCTGCACTAACCATGGGTAATTACTGTCAGAATCAAGTTAAATACTAGGGTATCTAGTCAGTACATGGATATAATTAGAGAATTCGTTGGTATGGGAAAAATCCCCGCACATTTAGTGTCAGAAGTTAAGTGTTACAACCAGGTATGGTGGCTTATGCCTGCAATCCCAGCACTTTGGGAGGCCAAGGTGTGAGGATCACTTGAGCTCAGGAGTTTGAGACCAGCCTGGGCAACACAGAAAGACCTCTGCACTACTAAAAGCTTAAAAAATTATCCAGGCATGGAGGTGCACACCTGTAATCCCAGCTACTCAGGAGGCTGAAGCAGGGGGATCCCTTGAGCCCAGGAGATCAAGGCTGCAGTGAGCTATGACTGCACAACTGCACTCCAGCCTGGGCAACAGAACAAGACCCTGTATGGAAAACACATTTTATAATTAAAAAATATTTTTTTAAGTGAAGTGTTGAGAGTATAGAAAAAAATTTCTTTTTACTATCTTAAAGCAATTCCCTTAATATCAGACTTTCCCATTCAAACTGCCATTCTTACCACCATCAACATGAACATTCTATAAAATATAAGTATTTCCAAGGCAATCCTATGCTTTTCTAAAATCTCTCTAAAGACTCCTACTACAGTAAAAAGTTTAGTAGTTTTAAGATGGAATGCTGAAGACACACTGTTTATGACTTTAAGTCATGGTTTGACCACTTACTATGTACAACACTGGGAAGTTAATTATTCTAACTCTGTTTCTTACCTCTTTAGTGAAACGGTGCTAATAAGAACACATGGTTAGTTGTGAAATTAGAATAAAATGGTGTAAATGCCCCCATTTGAAAGTCAGAGATTGTCAAACTAGATAAAAATGCAAAATCAAACTACATGCTACCTACAAAAACTGCACTTCAAATATAAAAGCACATATAGTTTTAAAGTAACAGGACAAAAACCGTATATTGACATAAATCAAAGAAAAATTAGAATGGCTATATTACTATCAGACAGTGGATTCCAGAGTAAACACTATTACCAGTGGTAACAAAGGTCATTTTGTATGAATAAAGAGGGCAATTAAGATGACACTGATATCCTAAACATTTAGGCACCTAATAACACAGCTTAAATAAATGAAGCAAAAACTGACAAAAGTTAACTAGAAAACTGACCATTAAAGCCAGACTCAATACTCCTTCTCAAAAACCGATACAACAAGTAAGCAAAAAAAAATCACCAAGAACATAGCAGAGTCAAACAACACTATCAGCCAACACAATCTGATCAACACTGTTAGAACACTCCAACCGAGAAGAGTAGAATATACACTTGTTTTCAACTGTTCACAGAACATTTTCCAAGACAGACCATATTCTGGACCAAAAAATAAGTCTCAGTAAATACAAAGAATTCAGACAACACAAAAAGTATGTTCACTGAGTAAAATTACAGAGGAGAAGAGAGTAAAATTATAGAGGAGGGTAGAGTAAAATCACAGAGGAGGATAGAGCAAGATGGTGGAACAGAAGCCTACGCCATTCATCAACCCCCTCTGGAACACCAAATTTTAACAACTATGGACACAGAAAATCACCATTATAAGAAACAAAACTCAGGTGAACAATCACAGTATCAGGTTTTAACTTCATATTGCCAGAAGAGGCATTGAGGAGAATAGGGGAGTCTTAACTCACCAACACCAGCCCTC